CGTACTTTCTGGACATGCGTTATATTTTCTTGACTGTTGGTGTATATATGTATGTGTGTATGTGCGCGCTTCATTTTGCTTCATTCAATTATAATTTAAATCAATTTGAATTTTTCGCGCACGCCTTTGTTGTTTGGCCTATGCTGAAGATCTTATATAGTATATGTATGCATGTATATAGTGTGTGTAGTTTGTATATTATGTGCGGTCTAAAGCGAAGGCAACTGCGTCTGTGTATGTGTATATGTGTGTATATGCTTTCATAATGCCCTTGAACCTGAGGAAGCAGGCAAGCAACCAACCACCCAGGCAAGCAGGCATTCGGTCGCATTGCACTTCTCTGGTATTACGTCTTACAACGACTACATATACTTGTATGTACTGTATATCCATATACATATATTTACATGCTGTAATTGAATTTCCACACACACACAAGAGAATTATACAAATTAAAGGATAATGCATTTTTATTTTTTTGTTAAACACGAAAAAGAAGAAGACGAAAAAAGACATCAAAAATACTATTCTCAATTGTTATTCATGAATGCCCACAGTTTGTTATTGTCGTCGCTATTTAGCTATAACGTCAGCTTTTATTTAGATTTAGAGTAGAATTCGTAGTATTTCGTTCTCTCTTAATGCCCCGCTGTACTTGCGCGTGTTCTAAAATGTGTTATGGGATTAACTTGTGAATGTTTTATAACAGAAGGGTAGTGGTTTCCCACAGTTTTCGAAGGTCCCGCACATATAGTATGTAAGTGTTTTTGCAGTTTCAAAAGATAACTCTGTCAATATTGTAGTAGACTACTGGGGAGAACTTCTATACAAGTATGTTTTAAAGCACACCAGCCGATTCTACTTTATGGTACTGCAATTGTTTTGCCACAGTTTTTGGATGTCCCGCACATATATTTGCAGTTTGAAAAGATTATATGCTTGCGAATTCAATATTGATCTTGTTTTAATCCAAAGAGCGATTGTATTTGTAGATGGAAAGTTGTTGTTCCTCAATTTCGAAATGTTCCCCAAATAGGAACGTTTTTTTTTTGCTTGCATTTTTTACAAAAATTGAATTTGTAGTTTTTAAATTTTGGAATGCAATTTTTAAAGAGGAAAGAATAAAAGACTAATATGAAAATAAATTCAACGAATGTTTACTATTTCGATGGAATAAAAAACCACCGAATCAAAGCAAATTGAGCGATAGATTGTGGATTAGTCCTGTCGCTAACGATTCATCAGTAAGAATACTCTTTGACTCTTTTCGTCGTCTCCAATCTCTACTATTTTTGCTAGTTGCCATACTTTCAAGTCCTCCCCACAACTCAAATGCTGATTTAGGCATTCCTAAACCATCAGATGAGTTCAATGAACCTGTTACTAATACGCGTGCCAAAATTTAATTTCAAAGTTCATTAAACTGGTCGACACAGGAGTGTTTGAAAAGTTCCACAGATATCTTAAAGTCCATGATCCGTAAATTAATTGATCGCACAGCGCACAAACACACCATAGGATCTTTAAGTTGTTCCTGTAGTTTTCGTCGTTTTTAAAATATAGTATACCATATTTTGGTTCGAAAATTGTACTTTGCACGCTTAGCACGGCCAATGCGCCCTCGGCAACGAAACGTACGCGACATTTTGCAACATTTTTATGCAACTCTTATCTGAGTGGGAAAACTTGGGTTCTAGATAAGAAATTTTCCGCGACTTGATGCGCAAAACGATGCCGTTGAACGACTGATAAAAAGAACTGAGCCGAAAAATTCTATGCCACAAAAGGCGGCAGCGGCTTTGCGACTAAACTTGCGACGAGCGCGCAAATGAAAGATGATGTATACTTAGTATTTATACTATACATATTTATATATGTATGCATATACATACATACTACTACATACTATGGACAGATGTATGGCCAGACTTTATCATCTGTATCATCGGCACGGCTCAAGACGACGACGACGACGACGAAACAAGCGCTGATCTTTTCTTTATTTGTGTTTATGGAAAAGTGCAAAGCAAACTATAAAATTCATTTAAATCATAATCAAATGTGACGCCTCTTCTGCCTAAGTACGGGTATATACTTTCTTGAAGCGTCGATGCCAACGGCGTTAAATGCGCGGCATTTTTTTTTTTTTTTTTTGTCGTCATCGAATTTGTAAATCTAAATATTTAAGCGGCTTGCCAAAGAAAAATCTTCAGCATTTGTTGTGTGTGTCTGTCTGCCTCGCTGTCTAACTACTAATGTACACACATACATACATATGTATGTATCTATACACAAGCACTAGCAAAGATATCTGGTAAACCAGTTCTAAATATCTGCACTCAGAAAAGAGCAACCATTTCGTTTACTTCGATTCGAATTTTGTATTCAGATGTTGAGAAACCAAAGGATTTTCTCAGCTTTTACTCTGAACCCCTACAGTTTTAATTTGTTATCAAAGTGCTTCTAATCAAATAGTACTTTTAACGCCCATGCAGCAGCAGAATCGATAAAGGCATATGAGTTTGTCTAGCCAACTAGGTTCTCAGCTTTAAAGCAATCAGATTATTATTCAAAACCGGCCAAATTATATAGAGTTAGCATCGCTCGTACGACTATGCAATAAGTTATTTGTTCTTAAAGCAAGCAGCGTAGTTAGAACTAAACGAAGAATTAAACATATGAATATATAAATAAAAGAACCTAAATTATAGGTAAAGAATTGCAAAAAAAAATCTAACCTACAATTCTTCTAATTTCATAACAAAAAGAACAAAATGCATACAATAAGTTAGTAAATAGATGCTCAGAAAAAATGAGAAAAATCTTTTCAATTTCATCTTTTTAATAGGTTCTATACTGTTAGGTGTCTTGGCATATATTGGTTTAAGTGTACTCTCTCACACACACACAACCGCACACATGCACAATACTGTTTCTATTTTTGTGCCCAAAAATTAAGTTCCATGTCTTTAGCATTAATTGTTCGCAGATTCAATTAAGAGTTGCTTGTGCTGCAAATGTTTATATCCCATGTTAGCCATTATAATTGTTGTTGTTGCGTGTCGCGTGAAGTCATCTGGCTATTTGTTTAAACAAATTACAGGTACACTCACTCACACACACACACAAGCAGACAAATCAAAATTCTTTCAAACTTTCTGTGATTGATTGTCGAGTGGCAGGCATTTATTCGTTATTTTTGTTCATTTCTGCCAAATCGGGCGAAACTCTTTCAATGTGTGTGTGTGTGTGTGTGTGTGTGTGTGTGTTTGTGCTTTTATTATTATGTTTATTGTTTTTTAATCATAACGTTTATTGTTTGTGTGCTTTAGACCATATTGTGCAGGCGTTTCCCACGCATTGTGCCAAAAAACAACAACAAAAATACAAATAAAAAAACAGAAAATATACGTTCTGTTGTTTACTCTTTAAAAATCAAAAAAATAAAGGTAACGGACGGACTTTGACTCTAGAACTGGCGTCAGAAGCGCAAAAATTCAAATTTATTTATGAATATACATACATATTTACATTTTATTTACAAATGACATTGCCGCTTCAAAGGTTCCAAATTTGGCGGCTTAATGATGTGGGGCAAGCGATCTATTTTAAGATTATATTTTGAATGTGAATGTTTGATATAAAAAAATTTATCTGAATGGTAGTGGAAGTTTTTTTTAACATATTGGCATGTTGTAAGAAATGTAAAGACTTTTAAGTGTGCGTAACTCCCCTTATTAGTTAACTAGCGTTTTTAGAGCTAAAGAAATTCGAGTATAATTTTGCACAGCAAATTACGTTTATTTCTGCTCTTAGCTCGATATAATTTTCCTAAACAACCAAGTCAACCAAAAATATCGCTTTGACTGTTTTAAAAGTGTAAATCAACACCATTACTTGTATAATACATCAGACGGCAAACAGAATTCCTAACCCCCGATTTATTAACTAATCTGCCCAACGGGAAATTATTTTCGGTGAGAATAAGGTAGCAACGGCTTCCGGATCCATGCTGAGAATCGCTCAAGTTTGTAGCCGACGGGGATCAAGAATAGTCCTCAACTGACATTATTTGTCTAAGCTTTGACTTTTATGAATGCCAGTCAGCAATATAGATATGTACATGCAAATGTATTTATGTATGTATGTCTGTTTAAAAATTGTCAATAGTTTGCACATTATATAAATTGCAATAAAGCGATAACAAGCTTGTCTCAATTGGTGCTTCCTAGTCCATAAATTAGCACCGGTTTGGGCCAGTGTAGACGGCGGAGCGATAACAGCAAAGTTGGCTTAAACAGACACCTTGCACGCACAAGGTGGCTAACATAAACAGCCTCTGCTGTGAGGCAGATTTGTTCGTTTTAGTTCACTCTTATATCAAATGTGACAAATGTAACAAGTTTTCCAGCTGCATTTAGTTTATCTAGAAATAATTTGGAAAAATTTTATAAATTTCTCACAATTTTAAATAATTATAAGATTATAAGGCCTATATAAGAGTCTTATAAGAATCAGCTGTAAAGTTACAGCATCTGTTTAATTGCTGTTAGTTAACAGTAGCGCGTGCATCCGTCGCAACTCCTCAGGGCTGTAATTTGGTTGTGATGTGTTGTTTGCGAGTGTGTGTATGTGTGGGTATGTTTTAACGTTAAAATTTACATCACACCCACAAATCGCAGACTTTTCACACTAACAACTGACGATGCTAATTGCATGCAACAATTTGTTGCAGTTGGTGGCCGTTGGCATTTAATTTGCTTAACGATTTTGCCATTATCTATTGTGTCTGTCATGTTGTGTACAGGAAATTCTCTCGCTGATCAATTGTTAAGTTTCATTTTGCGTTATGTGAAAAAACAAAATACAAACTAAAAAAAGCCTCAAACAATAAAAATAAGTGAATGCCGCAAGCGCGCATTTGACAATTTAAACTGCCAAACATTTTTGACGAAATTCTTTATATTTTAAAATATATTTCAACTTTTTATCTTTTCAAGCTGCTATTCCCACTCCAATTTAGCGGATTGCTGGGCAAAGTCGATGTCGAGGCCAATGTGGCGGGCGGGGGTTCATCCGGTCAGTCGGGCGCCATACGTTGGGGTATTGCAATGAGTTTGCGCAGTTTTGTTGATCAAGAGATGATTGAGTCAATGCGTTTAGGTAAGTAGTGTATAAAAACCCCCACTGTGGCACAACGGCCTCCAAACTCCAAGCCATACAAAAATTCAAATTCTAGTAGTCTTTAAAATAAATAGTCCGCATGAATACCCATTAGATATTCGACAAAAAACTGTTTTTATGCAAATATATTTAAATTATAAACATCTACATTTATTTTTTTTTTACCTTTCAAATTAAACCCAATATTTATTTTTCATTTGCTGTTTAATAATTTAAAAGTTTAAGACTTATAGTAGTCTTATCCTAATAAAGGGAACAAATTTTATAAATCAATCGGACCGAAAATGAAGTAAACATAAAACATAAATGCATAAAGTATAAAATAAAATCGCATCAATTTGTAATTTTATTTTTCAAAGTGACTTTCTATTCTTTAATGTATGTTATGAATACATTCTATTCAAGAAATGAAGATAATGTTATTTGGGACCGTTGCGATGCTGTGGTCAGACAGGCAAATAATTTGCTGAATAATGTTCTTGTTCCACTGCATAAACAATAGATAAATGTGACAAATACTCTTATTGGAACTAATTGCCTTCTCTTTGCGTGTATATTGCAGCCGGTTTACTGACACGTGACTACCGTCGACGCGAGCGCAAGAAGTTCGGACAGGAAGGCGCACGCCGCAAATACACGTGGAAGAAACGCTAGGCGGCACGTCTGTGAATTACAACGAACCTTGCGTTATGTGCATTTTGCAAATGTTGAATTATAACAAAAAGATATAGCAAATAAACTATAAGTACAATTTAACAGTTGAGACTTTACATTTGGTTTAAGGGCTGTAGACTGAGGAGCTCCATTCCCTGTTTGAGTGTGCGCTTGGCGGCATTGAATAGTAGGAGCCGTTGAGTCTGTTTGTGACTATCAGTCTCCTGTTTGACTGGTAAATGCTTTAAGGCGCGACTGGTGGAGTTACTGAAGAAAAATCAAAGAGATTAGAGGTGGTTGAAGCTTTAAAAAATGTAGATACGAACCACAAGCCAAACAGATAGTTGACCAGCACGCAAGCTTCAAGTTGCTGTTGTGACTGCCACACACACTGTTCAAAGCGTGCCAACTCGTACAGCAAATCCACGGCGTGCGGTTCCTGCGCAAAGTAGGACCAACTGGGCTTAATATCCGCCAGCTGTATGTGCCCAAAGTTTGTCAACAAACTGTGCAATCGGCAGTGCGTATATTGTAGCTTTATGCCCGTGTCTCCATTCACCTGTAGAGCATGCTGCCAGTTGAATTCATGATCACGCTGACGACGCTGCTTTAGCACATTTATGAGCACCGCCGAGACACCTAGAATATCACAAACACGATCATCATCCCACAAGCTATTGATCTTGGTAGCTGCAAAACAAAAATTCATTTAAAATTGTATATGGATGAGGAGCCTTACCAATCACATACTTTCGCTGGCGCTGCGTTTCTCCCGCATTACATCGCGCGCCTCGTCTAGCACGTCTCGCAGAAAGATTGCCTGACCTTTCCGTGTGCTCATACCGTGAATGCGTCCAAATTTTACATGTTGCAGCTTTTCCAAGCTTAAGTTGTTGTCGAGCGCAGTTGCCGTTTTGAAAAGCGCATTGAAATGATCCGCTTGTCCATTGTCCACTACATACAGCATGCGTGAAAATTGTAAACGGGAATGGCGCTCCACCAAGGCAGCAATATCACGCGCTAGATACAAAGTGGTGCCATCGCTTTTAATGATGGGCACACGACGGTTATCCACCACCACAATCTCACGTCCATCTTTTTCACGTTGCAGCAAATTTGCGGTCCTTAGCTGCTTCAGCACATCACTGATTTGTCCTTGCGAGTACTGCGACTCCCATTCATAGCTATCGAAATGCACTCCCAAGCGTTCGTATACACGCGTAAGCTCTTCTATTGTATAGCGACGATACTCATGCCACTGGCTGACCATTGCAGCATCCTCGCCCGCTTCTAAACTGGCGAAAATGTCCCGAGCCCGTTGAGAAACTTGGTCGTCCGACTCGGCTGCTTTGTTAGCCTTTACATATGCTTTATAAAGCGTCTCGATGGGTGCCGAGCGCATCTCTGCATCGCTTACATTGCTCATCTGGACGCCCAGCGCCAATAAACCAAACTGTGTGCCCCAATCGCCAAGATAATTGAGGCGTGTGGTGCGGTAACCCAAATGTGTATGTAAATTGGCCAAAACGTTGCCAATAATGGTAGATCGAAGGTGGCCTACATGAAACGGTTTCGCTATATTCGGCGAACTATACTCTACAACTATGTGTTCCTTTGCTGAGACGGTCGTTGCCGTTGTTGTTGGCACTTCCACTTGCAGCAATTGTGATGTAAAGGCTTCGGGTTCTAACTGAAACTCCACTTTAGCTGCAGTGCGTCCTTTACTGGGCATCACCCGCACTTCCTCAATATAGGTGGCATCAAACCGTAGCTTTCTAACAGACTGTAGAAGATCGTGTTCCTGTTGTGCAACAACCGAAGCCGGCAAATTCCACTGTAGGATTGGCAACGCGTTTGCGTTTTGTTTTTTTGTGGGTACTTCCAAGGCATGGTAAATGTTTTTCAGTTGCGGTATTTGTGGCAGCTAGAGTAATTACAAATGTCTGGGATTAAACATAATAAACAATAGATTTACAATCTACCTGCTCGCAAATCGCGCACCGTATGCGGCTGGTCATTGTCGTTACTAAAAATAGGTGGCAGCCTCATGCCAAGTGTTGGAAATGGTTTCCGAATGAACAGCTGATGGGCAGGTGTGGCAAATGAGTAACGGTCTTTGTCATTTCTGAACTGTGGTTTCCAGAAAATAAACAGTCTCATTGGCAATTTCAACATACTTAATAAGTTAGCCGCCAATCAATTTCACATTTGAAAACCACGGTATCGTGAAACCTAGACCAAAATAATAACAACAAAATGCATCAAGCTTACACATTTGAATCCGTTCTGAAAAATAATCAGGACCCCATAGAATCCATATCGGCCTATGGTAAGAAATGGTACCAATTTAATTTTGAGTATTTAAAGCTATTGGTGTTCATGAAACTTTTAGGTGATCACGTTATTGTCGGCACACGGGGTGGTAAGCTGATCCTTTACTCCGTGGATAAGGATTTGAAGGTCGACATGCGTATGTACAGCAACATCAGCAAGAAGCCAATCAAACAAATGGAAATGATTGCGGTGGAGAATTTGCTGTTTGTCCTGACCGACGGAATGATACATGTCTGCGATATAAGTAGAATCGAAGGGAACTTCGCGCTCATGCACAAAGCGGAGGACACAAAGGGCTGCACCCTCTTCTCGATTGATGTAAAGATGCCGAAGTCTCCGACGGGGGAAATGGTCGTATACGTAATACGTATTTGTTGTGCCAAAAAGCGTACCCTAGAACTATTTGTTTGGGATTGCAAATCAAAATCTATTAAATCATTCAATTTTAGCATCGAACTAAGCGGTGTGCCCAAGGCGTTGTGCTGGGTGGACGATATGGTGTGCGTTGGTCTCAAGAATAAATATATTGTTTACGATGTATGTTTCACATAATGTTGTATTAAAAATGCACTATTTAATATGGAAAATTTTCGCTCAGATGACTTCCCCATTGCCGGAAAAGAAAGATACTTTTCTGACTTCTTCAAAATTCAGCATGGAACCGTGTATTTGCCTTATACGCAACCGGATGCTTGGCATATCCAAGGATGACTTTCTAGTGGCTGTAGAGCCAAATGATTACACTAAACCAAAAGATGGCGACAGTCAGTCGAGGCCATCTCCTCAACCAAATCCGTTAAAACCACTACAATGGAGTAGTCCGTTATTGGGCCTACTCTGGGACGACCCGTATGCTGTTGGCCGCACTAACAGTACCATCGAGGTGCGAAACCTTGGTGGTAAGGATACTCTCATTCAACGTATTCCCGAGCTTCAAAAAACCAAATTCTTGGCGCACTCCGAGAGTGGTAAAATATTTGCAGCTTCCACATCCGAATTGTGGTGCCTACGAATGGTAGATATAACAACACAGCGCACTCAATTGCTGCAACAGAAGAAATACCAATTGGCCATAGAACTAACAGTGAGTTGCAATCAGAATTTTCTACAATAGCTATCGAATCTCTATTCCCCATTCCAGCAAGTTTCTGAGGAACATAGCGAGGTTAAAGCACAAACTATACGAGAAATTCGCATGATTTATGCTAAGGAGTTGTTCATGAACAAAGAATTCAAAGCGGCGATGAAGGAGTTCGAAATGGCGGCCATCGATCCATATGATGTAATACGTCTCTTTCCAACCCTCGTTCCTGAAACAAAGTCAGTGGCTGATGCCGTTGCTGCCTCGAATATACCTCAGCTAATAGATCGAGACCTGGAGAATGCGTATCTGGCCCTCATTGACTTTTTAGCTGTTGCACGCCAAAAAGAGGTCGTTAAGTTGCGAGACAACAAGAGCAGCTCCAAGTCCTTACTGGAGATAATCGACACCACACTGTTAAAGTGTTATTTGCAAACCAACGATACGCTTGTCGCTCCGCTGCTTCGCCTCAATCAAATTCACTTCGAAGAGGCGGAGAAAACGCTGAAGAAGCATGGAAAAATAGCCGAACTGATTATTCTCTATCAAGTAAAGGGCAAACACAAACTGGCACTCCAGCTGCTCAAATCTCAAGCAGCCGTGGAGGGTTCAGTTCTGCAGGGACGAAATCGAACCATACGCTATCTTCAAGAGCTGGGCGCCGACCATTTGCCACTGATATTCGAGTTTGCCGATTGGGTGCTGGAGGAGGATCCTGAAGAGGGTCTCACCATATTCACCGAGCAACTGATTGAGGTCGAACAGCTGCCCCGCACCAAAGTCCTGGACTTCTTGATTAGTAAGCACAAGGTCTTAGTCACTCCCTATTTGGAGTACATCATAAAACAATGGAATGATACGAATACGTTACGCCATAATGTGCTGATTAAACAATACCGAGACCAAGTGCAGCGCCTGATGGAACAAAATTCTAAGGGGTGAGCATACAATTTATATCAATATCATTAATATTTCAAAGCTGCCAATGATTATTATATGTTATATACAAATCTGTCATTTGCAGAGAGGCCACCCCCGATTTACAGCCAATGCGCGCCAAGCTTTGTAAGTTTCTGGAGGAATCCAATAGTTACTCACCCGATCGTGCGTTGGAGGATTTTCCCACCACAATGCTGCTTGAAGAACGCGCGCTAATTTTGAAACGTCTGAAGAGACACGAAAAAGTGTTGGCCATCTATATACAAGTGTTTGGCGATATAGCTAAGGCGAAAGCTTATTGCGAGGAAAACTATGAGGACGATAAGGAAATATTTCACACACTTCTAAAGACCATACTTTGTCCCACGACAATGCCGCCATATGAGGGCGTGAAACTGCATCCAGACTTTCTGCGACCCAATCGAGATGTTGCCCTGGAGATTCTAAATTCCTATGCGCTCAAAATCAATCCGATTACCATATTTCCCGTACGTTTTCTCAAAATTTGTTTAACCCCTGTGCAAATTAAACATCTTATTCTTCTCTGATTTCAGTTCCTGCCTGACGACATGCCTATGCAGCAATTGCAATACTATATGGAAAAGGTGTTGCGCCAAAAAATCGTGGAACAACACGAGCGTCACATTAAGCGTGGCCTGCTCGAAGCGGAATTGGCCCGTTTGAAGGCTGCTGTACAGAAGGAGATGGAGAAAAGCTTTGAAATTACAGAATCCACACTTTGTGTCGTCTGCAAGAAACGTTTCAACATTCAAGGAGTCTTTGTTCGCTACCCAAATGGTCACCTAGTCCATTTGTCATGCAATGATCGGACTGTGAAAGCTGCAGCGCCGCAATAAAAGATAAATGATTATATTCTTGAATACATAACCAAAGTTGAAATGTTATTGAATTAAACAAATTTGAGCCGCCCTTTGAACTTACTAATACAAAAGAATAATTAAAGGACTTTGTCAATTCCACAAATGCAGAAATGGATTAAATAAAACACTTTTCTATTTATTTTTTTCCTATTTATGAAGCATATAAAGATAACTACCATTTAAAACATTAAAACAGTGGCAACGCTCTCGATAAAGTCACACGAACGACATCCGATATCGCATAATCTTTAGTTGGTCAAACACGGCACAAAGCGACAACAACTCACATCACTAACAAAATATGCAATAATCTGCACGCATCCTTTAATCAGAAAGACTTCGACTGATTTGCGCTCCAAAAGGAATAAATATCAAGATTTAAAACAAATAAAGAAGACAATAGTAACTTGCATGGCAATTTCCAAATACTTGATAAGTGGGCGGCCAAATAATTCCACAATACTCAACAGTATCGTGGAAACCTAAACCAAAATAAAAACAACAACAAAAACCTAACCCAAAATAAAAACAACAATTCAAAATGCATCAAGCTTACACATTCGAATCCGTGCTGAAAAATAATCAGGACCCCATAGAATCCATATCGGCCTATGGTAAGAAATGCTACCAATTTAATTTTGAGTATTTAAAGCTATTGGTGTTCATGAAACTTTTAGGTGATCACGTTATTGTCGGCACACGGGGTGGTAAGCTGATCCTTTACTCCGTGGATAAGGATTTGAAGGTCGACATGCGTATGTACAGCAACATCAGCAAGAAGCCAATCAAACAAATGGAAATGATTGCGGTGGAGAATTTGCTGTTTGTCCTGACCGACGGAATGATACATGTCTGCGATATAAGTAGAATCGAAGGGAACTTCGCGCTCATGCACAAAGCGGAGGACACAAAGGGCTGCACCCTCTTCTCGATTGATGTAAAGATGCCGAAGTCTCCGACGGGCGAAGTGGTGGGTACTGCCATACGTGTTTGTTGTGCCATCAAGCGTACCCTAGAATTTTTCTGCTGGGATCTTAAATCGAACATTATTAAATCACTGAAATATAGCATCGAGTTAAGCGATGTGCCCAAGGCGCTGTGCTGGGTAGACGACGTGGTGTGCGTTGGCTACAAGGATGAATATATTGTTTACGATGTAAGTTTTTCGAAACGTTGCATTCGAAATGTTGAATTATTTTAACATTTTCGTTCAGATGACTTCCACACCGCCGGCAAAGAAAGATCCTTTTCTGACTTCTTCAAAATTCAGCATGGAACCGTGTATTTGCCTTATACGCAACCGGATGCTTGGCATATCCAAGGATGACTTTCTAGTGGCTGTAGAGCCAAATGATTACACTAAACCAAAAGATGGCGACAGTCAGTCGAGGCCATCCCTGCAACCAAATCCGTTAAAACCACTACAATGGAGTAGTCCGTTATTGGGCCTAGTCTGGGACGACCCGTATGCTGTTGGCCGCACTAACAATACCATCGAGGTGCGAAACCTTGGTGGTAAGGATACTCTCGTTCAACGTATTCCCGAGCTTCAAAAAACCAAATTCTTGGCGCACTCCGAGAGTGGTAAAATATTTGCAGCTTCCACATCCGAATTGTGGTGCCTACGAATGGTAGATATAACAACACAGCGCACTCAATTGCTGCAACAGAAGAAATACCAATTGGCCATAGAACTAACAGTGAGTTGCAATCAGAATTTTCTACAATAGCTATCGAATCTCTATTCCCCATTCCAGCAAGTTTCTGAGGAACATAGCGAGGTTAAAGCACAAACTATACGAGAAATTCGCATGATTTATGCTAAGGAGTTGTTCATGAACAAAGAATTCAAAGCGGCGATGAAGGAGTTCGAAATGGCGGCCATCGATCCATATGATGTAATACGTCTCTTTCCAACCCTCGTTCCTGAAACAAAGCCAGTGGCTGATGCCGTTGCTGCCTCGAATATACCTCAGCTAATAGATCGAGACCTGGAGAATGCGTATCTGGCCCTCATTGAATTTTTAGCTGTTGCACGCCAAAAAGAGGTCGTTAAGTTGCGCGACAACAAGAGCAGCTCCAAGTCCTTACTGGAGATAATCGACACCACACTGTTAAAGTGTTATTTGCAAACCAACGATACGCTTGTCGCTCCGCTGCTTCGCCTCAATCAAATTCACTTCGAAGAGGCGGAGAAAACGCTGAAGAAGCATGGAAAAATAGCCGAACTGATTATTCTCTATCAAGTAAAGGGCAAACACAAACTGGCACTCCAGCTGCTCAAATCTCAAGCAGCCGTGGAGGGTTCAGTTCTGCAGGGACGAAATCGAACCATACGCTATCTTCAAGAGCTGGGCGCCGACCATTTGCCACTGATATTCGAGTTTGCCGATTGGGTGCTGGAGGAGGATCCTGAAGAGGGTCTCACCATATTCACCGAGCAACTGATTGAGGTCGAACAGCTGCCCCGCGCCAAAGTCCTGGACTTCTTGATTAGTAAGCACAAGGGCTTAGTCACTCCCTATTTGGAGTACATAATAAAACAATGGAATGATACGAATACGTTACGCCATAATGTGCTGATTAAACAATACCGAGACCAAGTGCAGCGCCTGATGGAACAAAATTCTAAGGGGTGAGCATACAATTTATATCAATATCATTAATATTTCAAAGCTGCCAATGATTATTAAATGTTATATACAAATCTGTCATTTGCAGAGAGGCCACCCCCGATTTACAGCCAATGCGCGCCAAGCTTTGTAAGTTTCTGGAGGAATCCAATAGTTACTCACCCGATCGTGCGTTGGAGGATTTTCCCACCACAATGCTGCTTGAAGAACGCGCGCTAATTTTGAAACGTCTGAAGAGACACGAAAAAGTGTTGGCCATCTATATACAAGTGTTTGGCGATATAGCTAAGGCGAAAGCTTATTGCGAGGAAAACTATGAGGACGATAAGGAAATATTTCACACACTTCTAAAGACCATACTTTGTCCCACGACAATGCCGCCATATGAGGGCGTGAAACTGCATCCAGACTTTCTGCGACCCAATCGAGATGTTGCCCTGGAGATTCTAAATTCCTATGCGCTCAAAATCAATCCGATTACCATATTTCCCGTACGTTTTCTCAAAATTTGTTTAACCCCTGTGCAAATTAAACATCTTATTCTTCTCTGATTTCAGTTCCTGCCTGACGACATGCCTATGCAGCAATTGCAATACTATATGGAGAAGGTGTTGCGCCAAAAAATCGTGGAACAACACGAGCGTCACATTAAGCGTGGCCTGCTCGAAGCGGAATTGGCCCGTTTGAAGGCTGCTGTACAGAAGGAGATGGAGAAAAGCTTTGAAATTACAGAATCCACACTTTGTGTCGTCTGCAAGAAACGTTTCAACATTCAAGGAGCCTTTGTTCGCTACCCAAATGGTCAGCTAGTCCATTTGTCATGTCACGATCGGACTGTGAAGGCCGCTGCGCAACAATAAAAGAGCATGGGAAGGAATAGGAGAATTATTTAACAAAACAAATTCGAGCTTTTCTTAAAAAAAATCTCTTAATTTGGAGAGCTGCTATTTAGTTCAATTGTCTTATACTGTCAATATTTTCCATATTTATAAAATGTTGAATGTCAGCATTAAAAAAAATGTTTATAAGAACTTTATAACACTAATTAAACTAGTTTATATAACCAATCAATCCAACAAGCAATAAGGGAAGAAATTAATTAACACATGTAATACTATATTTATCTAAATCGTAAAGAAATAAAGGCTTTATTTAAATTTAATCGATTGGTTTATACATTTGTAACTGCTCGATCTCACTCAATCTCACGTACATATATCGCAGATTTCCGAATTGGTTTGTGAAACCAATTCCATTTGTTTCCGACCCTCTTACGAATATATTGCAGGGTGACCAGATCTGCATGCAGCTTTGGTTATCTACTCGATTAACCATTTATATCTTAATTTCTCTAAATTTTCTAAGTTTATGACTTAATCAAACAAAGCCGAACTTATAGAAAATCTGGAATTACTATATTATTGAAAACAAATTCAATCTTCACTTTATATGTGTCTTCGCTTTGTTACGGTCTGTTGGGGAGTACTGCTGATAAGTTCTAAATCAGAATTGTATCAAGCCGATTTAGATTTAGGTGTTATCTTTCTTCATAAGTTTATTATTGATGATATAGAATCCTCTTCTCTCTTAATATATCGATCACTTTTCAGTTTCCCGAAATATAAACTGTATAAATATTTTCTCCATTTACCCATCAACTCAAACATTCACTTCGCGAAATTGCGGGAATTACCACCCAATTAATATAAAACATTTTCAGATATTTGTATTTTTAGTATACTATAGTATTTACAGATGTATGGTTTTATAAAGAGAGTGCAATCTATTATAATACAATAGTTTAAGCCTCCTCGCTTCCATCCATCAAGCTGTCCCCGTCCACCGAGTCATTGCATATTGACAAATCGGATTCGGAAGCAGCTCGCATTGGGAGCGAATGCTTGCTATCCTCATTATCCTCCAGGCTGGGGGAGGATAGCGTAAGATTCCCTGTATTTGAGGCGGCTGCGGAGGCTATGGGCAGTTCCAAATTGGTTCCCGCCGCTGTGCTGGGCAATTGACTTTGTCGTATGAGGGCCAAACGTTGTTGCGTCAATTCCAGATGATGCTTTCGCCATTTGATGCGTCGATTTTGAAACCACACTTTCACCTGCGCCTCTGTGAGTTGGAGAGTGTGTGCCAGATATAGTCTCTCCGGTCCCACCATATACTGTTGACGCTCGAATTCCGCCTCCAGGCGTTCAAGCTGCTCGGGTGTGAAAATTGTCCGAACTCGTTTATTCTTCAGCGCGCTTTTCTTGTGGGATTCTATGGGAAGTGCATTCGTATGAATTGTCAGTTTAAATATAATCAAGAGAGATTGTTTTTTATATTTTGGAATGATTGAAGGTATGAGGGAACGATCGATAGCAAGCTTATAATTGTATAAAATCCAAATATTAAGTATGTTTATATTTCCATATTATGCAGAATCGAAATTGGTAAATGTTCCCAAAAAACTATAAGTCAACCAAATAGCTTTAGCGTTTTATCGAACTTTTACCAAATTTAATTCATCATCGAAATCGAATTAGACAGCTTTACGATTTAATTAGTGGAGCTTATTAAAAAACTAAATGCCTACATTCTTACCCGATTTAAGTTTCTCGCGCTGGAAGCTGAGCGTTGCTTGCTGGGCATGGTGTTGATGCAGTTGCTGGAGACTTTGGAGAGCGGAGGGTGCAGTGGCGACGGCGGCGGCAGCAGCGACAGCGGCGGCAGCCGCGAAATTGGCGCGCTGTTGTTGTTGGTGCTGCTGTTGTTGCTGCGAATGTAAATGATGATGAGCGGCGGCAACATGTTGTTGTTGCTGATGATGTTGCTGGTGTTGTTGTTGTTGTACGGTGGGCAGATAGCGAGTAACTAGAGATGGGACGATGCTGTTGCTGTTATCACAATTAAAGTTATTTACACTTTGGCTGTTGTTGTTGTTGTTGCTGCTGCTGCTATTATTGCTGTAACTGCTGCTGTTGTTGTTGTTGCTGTAGCACTTGCTGTTGTTGTTGTCCTGGTCAATGACATCGCCCGCCCCCACACCCGCGCTGAGCGACAAATTAATGGCATTATTATACTCCTTGCGTTGATTCTCAATCGCACTCTGCTGCAGACCCAAAATGGCGGCTATTGTGAATGACTTGCCGACATCGAGGGTGGTATGTGCCTCAATGAGATGCGCATGCGATGTCCCACTGGCTTCTTGTTGTTGTTGCTGCTGTTGCTGCTGGTTGCTGTTGTTGCTTGTCTGTGTGTGTGGGTGGGAATGTAACTGTTGTTGCTGTTGCTGCTGCTGCTGCTCCATTTGATATGAACTTTGACCCGCTGCAGTAACTGCTGCAGCTGCTGCGGCTGCAGCTGCCAATGCCACGCCCCCAACTCCAACTCCAGCTCCCACATGAACATGGCCGTGTGTGGTGTTGTTGATGTTGTTGCTGCTGCTACTGCTATTGCTGTTGTTGTTGCTGTTGTGGTTGGCCTGTTGTGTGTTATGCAATGCCAGAAAGTGTGACAAAGGATTTGCGTGATATTTCGAAGGATTCTGCAACATGCTTAGTATTTGGCACTACTAGCCAAACTTGTAGTTGTTATTATTGTTGTATTTGTTGTTATCTCGTCGTCGTGGTCGTCAGTTTCTCTGCTCTTCTGCTTCACGCTCTGGAAATTGTACACAAATGAACAAAACATGAGAGAAATGTCAACGACTTGGCCCATCATTGTCTTTCGGGCTGATTATGCTGCAATTAAGTGGATAGTGTAGTTAACCATCCATAGGCAGCCAACTGGTAATCCTAGACACGGCCAGACAGTGTGTGCATACATATACATACATACATACTATATGCTCGTACATAAATACATATGTATAAGAATGGAATGGAACAAAAGACTTTCGTTCATTGTCTAAAGTTTAGACTCTAAGCCAAGAGCTGTATGGATATGCACACATACATACATATATGCTCGTATTTACATACATACACATATGCATACAATACACGCATTTATAGGCAATACTGTGGAAATCACTCGGAAACTAATCTAACAGAGAACAGAATTCGTATTGTTTACTAAATGATGAGCAGTAAGCTTATAGGAAAACATTTGTTTTCTTTATATACAAAAGTTGGTCCTCAGTGTTGAAGGAAAGCTTTATTGATCCCCCAGAATTCTGATGTTTTTCGAGAATGCCATCAGTGCACCGGGAGAGAATTTTACTGTCTTCTTCAGTGAGGCAAGCCTGGGATCGCTGAGGTATTTTATTAGAGGTTCTCCAGAGTTTTTATTACTTCTGTTTTTTTGCAATTCACAAAAGCGTCGTCAGTTATTGGGGTTCGCTGAGGTATTTTATTAGAGGTTCTCCAGAGTTTTTATTACTTCTGTTTTTTTGCATTTCACAAAAGCGTCGTCAGTCATTGGGAATTTATATGTGCAGAAATAATTGTCGATTTTGGAATCAAATATTGTAACAGTGTTATTCAATATTTTATTTGTTTTATTTGTTTGTTTCAAAAAAACATCAGCACAAAGAATATGTTCAACATTTAAATTGAATAAATATTTTATCATTATGGGGAATACAAATGAATACAAATTATTTTATATTAACTGATAACTCTGAGAAGGCTGAGTTGACTATTTTTGAAGCAACCCATCTAACTTTTCTGTTAATGAAAACAAATATTGATCTCTAATAATTGATCTAAAGATTTAGGCGAATATAAACTTATAAGAAAAATCTACGTTAGTTTGTTAGTTTTTTTTTTTTTTTATTTTTAGGAAATTCAGTTCTAAGTTACAAGATTTGAAGTATTTTTTATTAAAAGGAAAAGGACCGGTTCTGTTTGCATATGAATGCGTGTATAATTGATAGAATACATTATATTTTTACCAAAATACCGTTATCTTATAATTACTTCAAAGCAAGCTACGTCCAGCAATAAACATTTTCTATCTTTAAACATTAGGTTCTTTTCTAGAAAAACTTTTTCGGCTGTACAAGCAATAATTGTAAAAAAAATGAAAAAATATATGAGTATGTTAAAGAATATTGAGATATGGATACTTGAAATATATTTATGAATTTTGAAAATAAATATACATTTAAACTGTAACACTCGAAGATATATGAAATGTACATCGCATTCCTTTTTTACATCCCTCTTCCAAACTCCATTCAAATATTTCTTCATGATCTAAGCTCCCGCAAACCTCAACTCAATAAATCGATATATTTTAAAAAAGCTATGCTAACAGTTGTTTATTTTATTGCTCGTATAAAGGAAGAGCAGTTTGATTGTAAATAAGTGAATTGAATCCTTAGAAATTTTCCGTACCATCGATGATTGCTCTTAGGCAATGTCTACTGTAAAGTTAGTGATATGCAAAGACACGAAGAAGTAACAACACCAACAGGTTAAGCAACAACCCGAACACATTACCACAAGCTGCTTAACACATATACACTCGGCTAGAGATTCATTCAGACACTCAGCCACTCACACAGACAGGCAGACAGACACCCATACACTCACATTATGGTCATGCACTTGAGGCAAGTGCATTTACTTAATTGCAATGCTTTTCTCGCTCTTTGATCAACTCGAAACTTGATGCCTTAATTGAGACTTTGACTTTGTCACTTTTGGCCAGCTTGGTTGCATTATTGTTGCAACAATTACTTCTTGTTGTTGCTGTTGTGGCTGCAATCGCTGCTGGCCAGAAATGCAAATACATGCCTTATTGGCAACAACAATAGAGCTTATTTACTCGGCTTGTGGACACGACTGTGCGGTGAAATGCATTTAAATGCTTGCGGTCTCGTTGTGGGCAAATATAAATAGGTTTATACCTACATACAAACATATAGAATGAATACTAAATAAAACATGAAATATGTTCTTGTTGGAATTTGCAAATCCGTTTTAAATAAATGCAATTTGTCTTATTTTATCAATGTCTAGTAAATCCTTTCATGGCCGGGGTGACTTTCTGAGAGGAAAGAAAGCAGTTGGAGCAGCTCATTATAGTTTTGCCATAACATTCCGAAAAGCAATGCGCAACTCTTCAGGAGAAAGAAGGAAATAATTTCCTATTTCTCTGCAAGGTCTGTAAAACTAAGAACCGTCTTCTGATTAGCCAACAACAGTCAAATAAAAAGCTGAAGTCTGCTTGAGTCGAGTGCGAAAAGAAGTTTAGGATACCATTCTTGAAATCTGTTTCTGTTCATGACTATTCATATATATTTTAATAGCAAAAGTATGTTATATAAATCTATACCAGTTATCAGACAAACTGCAAACATTTACAAATTAATCCTAACATTTTTCAGTTATAAAAAGTTCTTAACCCACAAACTGGAACAGATCTGTTGTTCTGATTCCTACATAGTATTAAATAGAGTATAATTTAAATGAATTTCAAATCAATATATATTTTAATCTACATATAGTATACTAACAATAATTTAATCAATTATTTTTATTTCATTTTCACATATTTTGGTTCAAAAACTGTTTATGGCCATCAGTCTGTTCATCTTTTAAATGAATCATTAGAATATTTAACTTAGCTTATATATACAAGTATTAACAATTGTTAATTATTTTTCATCAGAAAAAAAGTCTCAACCAACTTCCTCTAAACACGATTCACACAGGCATACATAAATATGTTTATAAATTAATAAATGATCATATGTTAGTTTAATATAAGACCTATTATTCTGTACATACAGGAAGCTGAAGCTAATGATTCATTAAACATTAATTTAGTACCTAATTTGTTATTACATACTAGCTTTAACATGAAATATTTATATTCTATTTACATCAAATTAAATTTTGTTTTTTTTTTTTAATTTAAGCATGGAAACCGTTCATACAGGTTTAGAATCAAATTAAATAATAATAACTCATCCTTTAAATTAAAAATAAAAAAAAAAAACAAGAAAGGAATGAGTAAAAAATACATATGTTCATGTACAGTTTCAATATCATACATTTACATCAATATCTTGTCTGGGGAATCGGGCAGAGTTTGAGCAGAGATTACATTTATTACTATAACTATCTTCATAACTGAATTTACGGACACATAATCACTAACTTTATGTAATTGCCAATTTTAAAAAAATTCTAGTTTTGAAATATCACTACTTGTAATAGCAGGGGAGTGGGGGGATGCATCAGAAAAATGAACAAACTTGATCTGCTTGGGGCTTAGGGGAACCTGGATACGAACTCTTGTACCTTCTGAGATCCTTTCGTTCATACAAGCTTACCCTTTTACCTTGTTGGTATAGGGTATAGGAACTGAAATTGTAATTACTTAATGAAAGGTATATTTTTTTTAAAGCGAAGTTTCTTATAATTAATATGTGGTAACGACTTCATACATTCCATATCATGCCCACTACTTTCTAAAATGAACTACGTTCATCGACCTACAAGCTTTTGGAGCAACTCCATTTACAGAAGAACGAATTAGGCAGGCAGAATGTTTTTACTGTGAAATAAACTCTCTGTTTTAATTGCTAATAATCCCTCTTTTGTCAGAATTCACATAAATAGATATATATACATATCTGTCCGATGTAGCAGATACAATTAATATTTTATGCTATATTTAATTTAAATTTCGATTCAGTTGGAGTCTTTCATTGAACGTAGATTCATCAAAGACGTTGATGTTGATAGCTTCCAAATTTAATTAACTATAGAATAAAATATTCCTTTTAACTGGACAGATATACATACATATGTACATATTTACATTAAAATGTACATGTACTCGTACATGTACATATGTATGTATTTAAGCTTTATTTGTAATATTATTAAAACTTAAAACGGATTTAATGTTAATTACCGTCGGCTAATTTAATACAAGTTTGTTTCTTAAGCAACAAAAAAGTGAAATTTACTTAACATTTATTTATTTAAATGAAATAACTGCAAATTTCACAAACCTTGCCATGAAAAGTTAATATATTTATTTCACCGTTTAATAAACGCGTAATCCAAAAAGTGTTGCGTAGTCCAAAAAAATATTGGCTAGTTCATGTTTTAAACATTAAATTTCTATGAATTTAATATGTTTACGTTTTTTTACACTTTCTTGATATTTTTTTAAAACCCCGGAGTGATATTCGTGTGTTTGTAACCGACGGCAAAAATATGACAAATTGCTGCCTACAGTCGCGCGCTTTCGATAATTCCGTTGCATAAAAGTCCTGGAGCACATGCGAACGCGTACGTGTTGCAAACTCAACTGAACTGAAAAGTCCATGGTCGTAGAATTTTTACAATAGACGCAGCCAGCAGCAACAGTCGTAGTCGCAGTCGTCGGCGGCAGTGGCAGATGCAGCGACGCTTTTAACTGTATGTGTGTGCTGTGCCGTGATTTTTCTCATATAAGATGAGGCGCTCATCCTGAATGTTTTTTTGTTGCTGTCGCGGGATAACGAGCTGTAGCGTAACAACGTCGTCAACGTCATCATCAGCAACATCATCATCAACAGCATCAACAGCATCAACAACAACAACATCA